TCATCACAAAAATCATTGACTCCGATATCCCTCCTCTTCAGTTTGTTCATGTTCTCACATGTCCCGCGGGAATTTTATTTTTGTTGTTGTTTTGTATTATTTTATTTTTATTTTACCTTAAGGAAATATCTAAATCTTTCTTTTCTCCTCATTTTTCTGCTAGTCTTTCAGTCCCTGTTGCTCCACTTTCTTCCGTGGATACATCCTGGATGGAATGGTTGACGGAAACCACTCCTTATCGGTAAACTCATTTCCCATGCCCTCCACACTGCTGCACCAGCCCAATAACATCCAAACCCTACATCAAGCTCTCAGGCTACTTTCTCTGCTTTTATATCTGTGCACCTGAGCCAGGCTACAAACTTAGGATTTCTAATTCTGTTAGGCCCTGAACATTTCAGTACAGTCTTTTCCTTGTCATCGTCTCTAGTTTGAGTTCCCTCAATACGTACTCCAAACCTTCGCCTGTCTCCTCAATGCTCACTTCCCTTGTTCTCCGGAATGCATTTATCTCCTCCCTCACCAAGAAAATTGAAATCATAGCATATACATCCTCAACTCTGTCTCTCTCAACCTCCCCACTCTTAAACTCAGTCAACCAACTAGCAAAAAGCTACAGAGTTATTGATCAAGTTGCTTTCTTGAAATATCTTCTCAGTGTTCCATAAGTACCTCAAACTACATTTAATTTGCTCCACCCTCCCCCAAATCTCCTCTGTATTGCTTACCCACCAAAATTCTGGCAATCATTCTTGACTTCTTTCTCTCTCACTTTCCACATCAAGTTCTGCCAATTTTAAATTGTAAAATATTTTTAAAACTGTGTCTTCCTTTCCATTCCTACTGCTGCTTCTCTATTTCAGACCCTCATCTCTCACTAGAGCTGTTTCAGCAGCCTTCCAATTCATCCAGTTTCTCGCAGTCCATTCTCTAAATGATGCCAGAGTAGTTTTTCAAAAATACTAGTTGGATCATGTCATTTTTCTCCTTACAGACCTTCAGTGACTACACCTTGCCTACAAGATAGAGTTCAAGGTCCTTGATACGGAAACAAAACCTTTCATGATCTGATCTGCCCCATCTCACCTGCTTGACCTCTGTTTCTCCCTACCACATACCTCAGACTTGATGCTATTACAATACCAAGCAGTTTAACTTGCCAAAAATATGTGGTGAAGTTTTACTTGTTGGTATATTTGCTAATACTGTTTTCTTCCACCTATAACATCCTTCCATTTTTCCTTATCCCCTGCTTTTCCTCCAGGATTTAGTTTGAATGCTTCAGGAATCTCCCTTCTGTTATGCAGGTAGAGTTAGGTGCCCTGCCTTTGTGCTCCTTTAACATCCTATGTATTGCTCAATTACTGCAGTTAGCATATGGTATTAAAAACTCCATTTCCACCACTAGAATCACTTTAAGAACAGGAACCATGTCTCGCTCATGTTTTTACCCAGCACCTAGCATATATCGAGTACTCAATATATGTTTGTTTTCCTTTTTTTGCCCACCCCAGCTCCATAGCACGTATCAGGCCAATAACGTATGTCCTCAATAAATATCTGATGAATATATAAATGAATGATTGATTTGGCAATTTATTGAACAGGAATAAGGAAAGCAGAATTAGAGGCAACTGAGGTTTTTCATGAGTGACTGGGAGGATGATATCATTAAATAAGAATGGAAACAGATGGAGGAAGTCATTTGAAGAGGAATATTATGCATTGCTTTAGCATGAGTTGGATTGGGAGACAGGACAAGACATCCCTTTACAGCTTTTCATCAGATACTTGATCAGTTCCTAGAGGAATCTGCTTAGAAATCATAATTGAAGATGTAAAAGTGTGGCAAGGATCACCAAGAAAGTGCTAAGTGGGAATAGAAGGACAGGGACAGAATCCTTTGGAATGTCTGCATTTAAGGGGAAGAAAGCAGAATTCCTAGTAAAAGAATATGAGTAGAAGCCTCCTTAAACTGGAAGACCAATCAGGATAATGTATTATGAAGTCCAAGGGAGAAAAAGTTTTAAGAAAGAAGTCAATTGCTGTGGGGTGGTCTAGTAATAAGCAAGATTGTTTAAAAGAGTAAGGGCCTTTTAATTTGTTCTTTAAAACATATTTCTAGTAGGTATGTAAGAATAAGTTAATTTTCAGACTTTCAGCAGAGAAGCAAAGGAGAGAAGAAATGGTAATAGAAGGGAAATGGTGAGAGTTTTTTTTTTTTTTTAATTTTAAAATGCATGCCTATTGGAAGAAATTTAAACATTCAGAGGTATATAAATTAAAATATAAAAGTCTCCCCTCAGTCACCCTATTTCTACTTCTTCTTTCTAGTTTGTCATTTATCCATCTAGAACTTTAAAAATATTTTGGTATATTTTTGCTTTTATAAAAATGAGACCACATTATATATGCTATTATTGCAAATTGCTTTTATTTTATTTTAATAGCATGTCATGAAGCTTTTCCACATCAGTATAAAGAACTACCTCATTCTTTTAAATGGCTGAATAATGTTTTTTATGATGGATATGTACTATAATTTAGTCATTCTCCTTTTGGATGATATTTGCCTTCAGTTTTTCACTCTTATAAATAATTCTGCACTGACCATCTTTGACAAATATTCTCAGGCTGTTGTTCACATAATTCTATAGGATAAATTCTTAAAAGTAGAATTGTTGGGAGGGAGGGGCATTTTTATTCTCTATTGACGAATCACCCACAAAAAGATGACACCAACTTGCACTTCCTCCAACAGTGTATTCAAGTGCTCTTGTCCCCACACCCTCTCTGACACTGAGTAATATTATACTTTCCCATTTAAGGGAAGAGTTTTTGGTTTTAGGTTTAGGTTTTTGTTTTTAATAGAAGGTCTGATCTTGTTTGAAATCCTAGGAAAGAATCCAATTGAGAGAAGAAGTTTGTAAGTTATAAGAAAAAGAAACGTTTGACAGGCCATAGTCAAAGAGAGCCTGGGTCAAGATGGTATCAAGAATGTAAATAAAAGGCACAATTTTCTTTTGAGACATTAAGAGAGGAAATAATTGATAGGTGAATATGGAAATAAATATAAATGAAGGAAGAAAGTTTTTTATATAATCATCTTTATTTTAGGAAAGTTAGAAGCCAAGTTCCCAGTTGAGATGGAGGATTACCAGGATGGGATTTTGAATAAAGGTCAGGAAAGCCTCTGTGTAAAATGCTGCGAGAAGCAGGAAGCAATCAGTATTGGGAGCCATCAGCACTGGCCAGTGTTGGGAGTTCTGCTGAGCTGAGAATGAATGAATTTCTGGGAAGGCAGTGGTCATGGTCACATTAATTTTTTTACAAGAATGAGCAGAGATGTAGTTGTTGAATTTGCCTGGGTTTGGGGCTTCTGGGTTAAGGTAAATTTATATAACATTCACAGTGAGGTACTTTTATTCTCCCCATTTTCCTGTCCCATGAGTAGAAGTTATATAATCTAAGGTGCACATCTACTGGTGGGTCTGCACAGGGAAATGATCTCTGTGTTCTGATAAAATTGTTTTAAAAAAAGGAAAGAATAAAAATTTAATAGGGCCAGGTGCAGTGGCTGACTACCTATAATCCTAGCACTCTGGGAGGCTGAGGCAGGAGGATTGCTTAAGCTCAGGAGTTCGAGACCAGCTCTGAGCAAGAGTGAGACCCCGTCTCTACCAAAAATAGAAAAAATTAGCTGGGCATGGTAGTGCATGCCTGTAGTCCCAGCTACTCGGGAGGCTGAGGCAGGTGGATCACTTGAGCCCAGGAGTTTGAGGCTACAGTGAGGTATTACGATGCCACTATACTCTACCCAGGGCAACAGAAAGAGACCCTGTCTCAAAGAAAAAAAAATTAATATATTTCATTATGCCCATATAAAGCCATATAAATATTAGGTTTTTTATATCACTTTGAGCATAAATCCATTTAATTTCTTGGTTTGTATTAATAAATTATGATATGAGCAAACACTGCTAAAAATTCCAATCAGCACAAACCAGTGATATATATATAAGCTTATATAATTTGAATCCTAATCAAGGGCCACCTAGAATAATAATTGGCCTAGTAATACTCCATTCAACTTATTGTTGTCTAGAGATTCCCTCTGCTTCTAGGGAGTTTAAACATCATAATTTTTACAATCTTACTTTTTGAGTAGCTGCCTCTACCGGTTTCCCAGTCTTCTTAACTTTAATTTTCACATTGTTTATGGGCATGAAGAAGACAAAACCAAAGTGTTAGGAATTCGTGGTGAACTTAAATTACAAGGAACATGCTGGCAGAATAGTGAGAGGGATAACACATCCTCTGAGTATTTTTCCCTAAAATAATAAAATGTTATAAGAGGAAATGTGCTAATGGTGGGAGTACAGTTTATTAGAGAGAGAAAAAAAACATATATGTACGTGTGTTCATTTTCATTAAAATGCCTTTTATTCCACGTTTGCCTTGTTGACTTTTTAATGAGATTATGTAAGGACAGAGTCTTTACATAATGGAAACATGCTCTATTGCACTACTCCGTACATATTCTGGGTACATGTAAATACAATAACAATTGAAAATGAGAAACACAAATGCATTTTAGGTACATTGGTGATATTTTAATCCCTAATGTTCATTTTTAGTACTTGGAAAACATCTTAGATATGCAAATCTTGTTTTAGCATACTTTTTATTTCTATAGATATTCTGGTTCTTAGTCATACTCTCTGTGGCTTTATTAGCTGTTTCATCAGTTTGAGTCTTATTTCCCCAACCCCAAATGTAAGCTTTTTGAGGATGAAGACGATTTCTTCTCCAAAATTGTTGTGGTAGGACACCAAATAGACCTTGTGTAAATTATTTAAATTACACCGCAATAAAAGAAATAGGAAAAAGAAAGTTCTTACTGTCACAAATTGCATTTCAACTCATGCTGAATTTAAATATCTTTATGATCTGTATCGCTTTCTATGCTTTCTACAGTTCATTCATGTTTGTTCTTTTAGTTTATTTAAGTCAAAATGCAATGGCTGGCTGCTTGGAACATCACCATCCATTAAAAAGCACCAAGACTCCCCAAATAGTGGAGAGAACGGGAAGGAGAAGAAGATAGTTGGGTTTCAGTCACATACGGAAGATGATGCCCTGGGGACGTGTCAGAAGAAAGATACATATAGATCCCCAAAAGGTAAGTTTAGCATCTGTAGTAGCAAAATGAGAAGCTGCTGGGCGAAGGTGGTTGTTGGGGGATCTAGCCAGTGAATTTCAGATGATTTCCTACAATGAGGAGAAAGAGTTACATGTTACAAGCTGATGTGTACCTGCTAAGTCACAGGTAAGCACATCCTCTAGATTAGTGGAATGCATCTTCATTTTTTTTAGAATACTGGTATGAGAAACTGTATCCAGCTTATCCCTCTTTTTGCAAGCAGCAAACTTTAAGAATTATTCAGCAGTAAATATGGTCATAGACACAAAATAATGTTCAAAGTTAGTAAAGAGGGCAAGCAATTGAACATAAATCTCTCCTGGAAAAGTAAACCCTTCCAACTACAGTTAGTCCTCAATTGACTGGAGTCACGGGGTAGTATGGAGGAGAGGTCATGGACAACTCCACATTGTGGCTAAAACAAAACCTCCCAAGTCTAAAGCTTATATTGCCCAGCAATCTTGTAAGTGCCAGTAATACTTCCTATTGTATACATGGTAGATTTTTAAAACAAATCAATTATAAATAACTATGTGAAGTGTCAAGTGAAACAAATTTAATTGTGTTTCCAAGTTATTCCTGGAGTGGCTTTTGGCTTATTGTATCCTGGCATCCTTAAAGGAATGACTTTGGAAGAGAATGGAGCGAGCCTGAGCTTCATTGTACAGAAAAGATGTACAGGAAACAGAGGGCCAGAAAGGTCTCTGAGCCCCCTTCTGCTCACACCTCTTTCCCAGATACCTCTTTTTCCTGCTCACAACCAGTATCCCTGATTTCCTTCTTACTTACTTTTTTTGTCCACTGGGATAGCACCTTTCTACCTCTGGTGTTAAGCAACCAACTTTTCATAATCTCTGTAGCCATTCTCACATTTATTTATTAAAAATTGGGCAGTGCTTTATGAGAAGATCTTGCAGGTGTACCTCTCTCCCTGCTGCCATTCTAGCTCTGTCATGCTTTTTGGTTTTGATTATGATTAATCTAGAAATTGTTTAATCCTCTCCTAGATAATTGGGAGATGATAATTAGTCCAAACTTCAGCAGGCAGACTATCCACAATTTGAAACAAAAGCCAAAGTACATTTTGTTTGATGTAAGGCAAAAGTTTATGCAGACCTCCATTGCATTAGGACAGCTTAGAAGCTGCTCTTTAGACATTGCCACTAAAAACAAAAATGAAATTGAGGAGACTTACTCTGTGAGATAGAATCTTCTTTATTTTCTCTGTTAGTAGTTTTTCAGAGATGGAAAACTCTTACTTCAGCTTCTTCTATTCTCAATCTTTGCACTTTGGAGAGTGGGGAACCAGTCAAAATTGGTGTGGTGGTTACACCACAAGGCTTAACATAGTCTTCTGTTAACTTGCCACAAATTTGTGTTGTGTGTCAGCACTAGGATAAAATGGCAAAATGAGAAGAATACAGTGTAATAGCAAAAGGACAAATAACTTGTGTTATTGGTTAAGACCATGGTAACAATAGAAAGCAGCAATTGAAACAGGCACTTTGAGAAAGGTATCATCAGGCCAGCCCTTGCTGTGGTGGAGGTTAATCTCTCCTGGCCCAGCTGTTGAAGCCGGAAGCCTGGAACGGGCTTGTGTCCAAAAAAAATCAATTTCTAATTTGAAACAAAATCATTTTTGACTAACGGGTTCAGAACCCATTACTTTTTGCTATATAGTCTGCTGACATTTCAGCACTTTCTGTTGTGCACAATGAATCCTAATAGTCATTTTATAATGTTGCTATCCCAATCAATTTAACCAAGAAAAAGCTGTTACAATTCTGCAAAGTTTTCACCCATGGTTGTATTTTTTTATTTAGGTTTTTTTTTTCCTTTTTTTTTTTTTGAGGGAGGTTGTAGTGTTATAGTAAAAAAAATAGAAACTTTTTCATCTTTTTAAAAGAATTTTTAGTTTAAGGTATTCACAGGAACTATTAACTTTCTCTTCCACTCATGAAAAAGACTGTCTCATGTTTTTCTGTTCTTTTATTCTAATATGGAGCTATTAGCCAAATTATGGTCTGCCTGATCATTGAAGGAGCTAAAGTTGTCTCTTTAAGCCATTCTGCCCATTGCAGAGCTGGTATACGCCGATTTCATTATAGGGCAAAGTTATTGCGTTGGCATTTGCTGTGGCGCCCAACTAAATAAACGGGAGATACAAACTTTGCAAGGCATGCTGCAGCGGTTTTGGAAGCCCTGTTTATCATAAGGCCAATGACCTAGCACTAATTGCCTAAGTTACACTGCTTGGTTTAGCACCTCCTTAATTGCTTTTCCCTCTTTAGTGTGTCTGAATTTTTTGACATACCTTTCTTCTGCTTTATATCCTTTGTTTGTTTTGTTGTTACCCTTTAATCGTTAAGTACTACACAGGACATTTACTACAGGACCATTAATCTTTATTGCCAATCTCTTACTCCTTTACCTCTCCTATTCTCACCATCCTGCCAACTTCATTCATTGATGCTAAACTTGTAAAAAAGAAAGAGCCCTGTGATAGCAAAGATATGTACAGTATTATCAGAATTATACTTAAAATATAAACTGTTTTTTCATTCATCAATGTTTGGGATGCTGTGTTAGTTGCTTTTATGGAGCCATGTGGAACAGGGAGACATTACTCGGGAAATTCTAAACTTGGGTCAAGAGCTTTTTTTTTTTTTTTTTTTTTTGAGACAAAGTCTCACTCTGTTGTCTGGGCTAGAGTGCCATGGAGTCAGCCTAGCTCACAGCAACCTCAAACTCCTGGGCTCAAGCGATCCTCCTGCCTCAGCCTCCCGAGTAGCTGGGACTACAGGCATGCGCCACCATGCCTGGCTAATTTTTTCTATATATTTTTAGTTGTCCAGATAATTTCTTTCTATTTTTTTTAGTAGAGATGGGGTCTCGCTCTTGCTCAGGCTGGTCTGGAGCTCCTGAGCTCAAATGATCCACCCGCCTCAGCCTCCCAGAGTGCTAGGATTACAGGCGTGAGCCACCGCGCCCGGTGGTCAAGAACTTTTAAAAGGCATAAGTCTGGAAAAACCCAGCCTTCATTCCTCCTTTTTTCTTTCATGCAGCAGCACAGCATTCTCTCCCAGCTTGCCTAGAACCTCTCCTTCCTGAGTAATCCCTTTTATTACAGCTCTCAAAGCTGAGGGCTTTTTTTTTCTTGTTATGCTGGTGGGCTAGCAGAGGCCACGAGGCTCCTGAGCATTGACACGTTAAACCTTGGGGCTTGGCAAAGCAATGCCCATTCCTAAGTCAGGCTGTAAAACCTGACTTTGGCCATTCCAAAGCCCCCTGCTACATTTAGAGCTACCTCTCCTGTTTGTTCCTCTTTCATGCATCTCTAAATTCCCTTACAATGGTAAGAGAGGCTGAACCTAGAGTAATATGGATTTATCTGATGGCATTGACCACGCCCCTTCATTTTGTCTTTGGGGTTTTTTTAGGTTATATATCTTATATAGCGGCTGCTTCTGGTTGGGGTCCCCTAGTGACTCCCTTTTGTTTTTACTGGAAAAGGATTATAGACTTACCTGAAATGAGGAATAATCTCTGAAGCTTCTAGTTCCTCTAAGTCAGCCTGTGCTTGCAATGATGGGAATGCTCTTCATAGCCCAAGGTGGATTAAAATAGGTGACATGATTAAAGAAATGAACAAATTGGAGTATCGAAAGTACAGAAACCATTTCTATCTTGCCTCTAAGGAGCCTTTATTATCACAACATCATTATTATTACATATTCAATCATAAGAATCACAGGATACTGCTTCTGAGCTAAAGGTATGCTAAAAGTCGATGGCTTTATCAACAGCAAAGAGAATACAAGCATAGTAGAAGGCTATGAATAAACCCAGACATGTTGAATAAATTTTCCTGCCCAGTCCACTAAAAGGAATTAAAATGCAGAAGACTAGCATTAAACAGTTGAAGTTGCTATATATGGAGTATTGTCACTGTAAACCAGAGGGTCTACATTCTCATTCTTTACAGTGGAAAGAAATATTTCCAAATACTATAAAATTTACTTATTTATTATATATGCTTTTTGTCTTCTCCCTCTAAAATATAAGCTCCATATGTTCATTGTTGTATCCCCATCTCATAGAACATTGTTTAACACATGGTAGGTGTTCATTATATATTTGTCGAATGAATTAACATTATTAATTTTTCTTTCTATGCCCTTATCCCATTTTCCCAAAATAAGGACCTAATCAGTTAGACCTTTTGACCTCAGTGCCTGCAGTGATTTAGTGACTTAAGCAAAATATATGCTTGTCCCTTCAAAGTCCTTATGGTGATTAATTGGTAATGTCAAAGAGAAATCAGTAGAGTGGAGTCTTAAAAACAGCACTGCCTTAGGAGTCAAGAAAACTGTGGGGTTTTTTTCATTTCCTTTTATTCTAATTGAGGTTTAATTTATATATAATAAAATTACACAGGTCTTAAATGTACAGTTTGATAAATTTTGACAATTGTGTACACCTACGTAACTACCACTCCAGTTAAGATATAGTACATTTCCATTATCAACAAAAGTTCCCCCATACTCCTTACTAGTTAATCCCCGCTGACCCAGGCTTTTCTGTTTGGTTTGCTGATGGCTGTCTTCTTACTGTCTCCTCACTTGGCTTTTTGTGTGTATTCATCCCTGGTATGTCTCCCTCTTCTTATAAGGACATCAGTCATACTTGGTTTGACCCACCCGTATGACCTCATTTAACCTTAAGTACCTCTTTGAAGGCCCTATCTCCAAATATAGTCACATTCCAAGTTAGTGGAGGTTAGGACTTCAACATATAAATTTGAAGGGACACAATTAAGTACATAACAACTACTTTCTTTCCAATTTTTATGCCTTTCTCTTTCTTACCTAATTGTACTGTCTAGGGGTTCTGTTATAATGTAGAATAAAATGATAAAAGTAAACTTCCATGCCTTGTTCCCAGTCTTATAGGGAAAGCAGGTAGTCTTTCACCATTAA